CTTCTTAAAACCTGTTTCAATTTAACTCTTTTAATATTAAACTTTATAAAAAATATAACTTATTCAGGCATTACAATTAGTATAAGGATTAACTTTTAAATTATTAATTTACGTACTTAAACCAAAGCCGTAACAAAAACATGTTACGGCTTGAAAATGCTAAAGGCTGGCTAGTATAATTTGTTTAACTTTAACATTTGGATTTTAAATTTTAATCCATGTGTTATACCTAAATAAATGATTGTAATTAATTAATGAAATAAAATTAATGAGTCAATAGCAATTTGTTAGTGGATTTTCAGTCAATAATCTCATTTATGAGGACTGTTTTGACGGCAAAATTATTTTTGCTTTGCTCTTGGCATGGCACCAAAATGCCAATTATTGCCATACCGTTATTTATGCGTGGCACAAACTAAGATACTTTATTTTATTATAATTAACTGAACCATGAACCCTCACATCAGTGGCGTACCTAGGTTGACAAGGGCCACGGTCTACCTAACCCTGAAACTCAAGAAAGAATCGGGCCCTCATCCCCTCTCTCAGCATAGCTTGAACTTTATGAACCTCCAAAATTATAAAATAGAAACAAAAACAGATTACTTGAAAACACAAAATCCTTTTCTTTTAGGCTTATATCATTTCAAAGATGAGGTTGGAGGGCCCCCAAGTTTCGGGGCCCTGGTGCATTGCACCACAACATTGTAAATAAAGCTAGTTATTTTATAATATTGATTAGGTTTTGGCAATTTACGACTTATTATACCATATCCGTGAATTAGAAAGATAGCCCTATTGTTAATTTTAAACAATAACCATAACGATTGTAATATTAGAACGTTAAATAAATATCAAAATTGCTAAGCACAATAAAAATATACAGGTACTTACGTATAAGACCAATAAATTATTTCTAGAACAATGGTCAGTTTAAATTATTTACATTTAGTAATGTCGATTTTCGGTCACAAATCACAATGCTTTAAAACAACGTTAAACTTTAAAAGATTTTACTAACTGTGATATATAACTGCATGCATTTAAAGTATTAATCAATTTATATTATCACGAAAGTAAATGACAATACCTGATTGGCCTACTCTGATTTACAGATTGTGTACCTAACGTACTTTTTTTTAATTTCAAAATAAACTTTGATCACATATGATCGTAAGATAAGATCTGGTCTAATAATACCTTCATGAACACAACAACACTATAACACAATCACTGACTAGAAACCGTTTTTCGTTCGTTATAACGACGTGTCCAATGTCCACACGCACAAAGCGGCTACACGTAACGACGCGCGGATGACAAATGCGCGTCATCGGGTTCCACTCTTTGTTTACCACCGCGAAGTCCGGCGTTCGCTCAAGTTCAAGGGATTAGGGAACCGAATAGGGTTGCCACTTAACAATCGAATGAAATTAGGTGATGTAGACGTATCATTGGATGATGTAATTTACCATTTTAATTTTGACGGACGAACAGTTTGTAAAGTAGCTTTGCAAAATGGCCGCTGATAATAGTAAATGCAAATACTAGTTAAGCTTATTTGATAAATTATTATTTTAAGGGGCCCCCGGGGGGGGGGGGGGGGGACGTATTTTATATAAAGCTTTCCACTGAAAAACAAAATAAAATAAGCATCATAATTATAAATAATGAAGTTATTACTACAATGTCAAAAAAACGGTCAAATAAAAATATTATTAGTCTGTATGTAGATTAAAAATAACGAAAATTAATGACAATATACGTAGTAATACTATACGAGATTAAAACAAAAACTCTGTAGTTAACAATCTCTGCAACATTGTTAACTAGAGAGCTTCTATTTGTTTCAGCCCTATCGTTTGGTTTACAATAACCAGCACAACGTGACCCCCAATATATATTAACTCCGTATTGACAGGTGAGGTCGCACTGGGTTGGCGTGATTTACTTTTTCTGTAAGCCATTGCTTGCGATAATTCTAATGGCGGGAACACCTTACTTTTCGATGATGTCATAGGTTCAGGTTGAGGCAACAATGTAAAGACATATACATGTTATTTTAATACATAATATGTACAGATACTATGTTTTTACAGTGAATTAAGCAATTTTCGTATTTAATTTGTGTGTCATTATAAACACTGCTAGTGTAGATCGTGTGATTTTAAGTTGTTGCTGTTTTAAACACGTTTTTAATGTACAAGTGTATATCCGTCATTAAACATGGGAGCATAATATAATTAGTATCTGTGAATCAATTAAGCATACATTTGAACTTTATCCTTCTTTGTTATTTCTGTGTAACATATCTCTTTGTTTTTATTTATTTAATTAATATGTTCTGCTAAATAAAGTAGGAAAGAAGAAGTTTCGTTACCGAGATATATTGTTAGCAGTGAAATAATTAAAAATTACTACGGCCTAGAAGGAGAATTGTTTTTGATATTTTTTTTAAGTTACAGTTACTAGATACGGTTAAATAAAAATTTTAAATTTGCCGCGTCAATGCTGTATAGATTTCCATTACTTTCTGCCGCTAGATGTCGCTAAAAATATTGATTTTTGTTGATCTTTTCTGTAATAGATGGCAGTTAAACTAATACGAATGAGCCAAAGAAATATGAGTAAAGATCATATTTCCATGTATAAGAACGAAAGATAAGCTTCTCAATTAGATTACTAAATAAATACTCACATAATTAATTATCGTTACATTTCCAATTATGTCTAAAGAAATCCATAGAACACAATAAGTTGTATGAAAGTGTCGTACTGTACTGTTGTTTTTCGTTTGTTGTTAGTAAAAGATTATACATAATGTGTATAAAAATTGCGTATTAAAAATATCTCTTGTTAATTGGTATATTAAAAAATAAATAGGGCCCCCACACATTTAAAATTGACCCAATTTAAATATAGGCCTTAAAAAGAACGAAGAAATTGTCAATGTCAGTTATTTAAACTGTAACGTGACACTGAAATCATCAGGGCATTCGTCGAATCGTTGTTTCAACTCTCATAATCAGCAAGTCATATTGTTCTCAAACATACTCAGTTTATTGTAGGTAATGTAAACTATACCTTGTAAATATGTACTCAAGGTTTATTGAAATATTGGGTTATCCATTATCAATTCTGCGCCACAATAACGATAAAGATATGAGGTTATATCCTGTTTCTATGTTAAAATTAAAAAATGTATCAGACAATGGCATATTTAAGCAAACATATATATAAGTAAAAAACCATTATGCATAGTATCTAAACGCACATTTAATAAAACACTTATAAACGGTTTAAATCGCGAAGACTTATTTTGTCCCCGATGATCATGCCTGCTGAAGAGTATCGTAAACGTTGGGTCATAGATAAAAACTAAATAGATCGCGTTTTAAAAAGAGTTGTATTTAATAGATAAAATAATAACGCCATTTATCAACGGACTCTAGCGATACGAATAATGATTATTTAAACATTTCGTAGATATGATTTACGCAAATCGTCACAATTCTTAACACACGGGTTAATTAGGAAACTGTTTTGTTTTGAATTACAAACAAGGGAAGTGCATGACAAGTGCTGAACTTGAGCACGTCTTGTATGTTGCATCTTCTTTGCATCTTTAAACGTAACCATGTAAAAACAAACTTCATTTTGTAACTGCTTTGATGTTCTTATTCTGATGGTCTAGTAGTAGATTGATTAGAGCCAAATCCAAGGTTCAAATCCCATAGATGGTAAGATCATTTTGACGGGCTTGTTGGTGTTATGGTAGCAATGTACAGCTAATCTAAATGTAACAATCAACGATGTAATAAATCAACGTATGTTCGATTCCCGCTGGGTTCAAAATTTTTTAAATAATTTTATAATTTTTCTGAAACATGTCAGACTTCGTCAGGAATCTAGATATTATATTGGTAGTAGGAATATGGAAATTCTGTCCGAGTCCACAGATGATAAGCTGTGAAGTTTAATCGCATTTGGGTTTCAGTGCGTGGATTTCCAAACATCCAAAGTCAAAATAGGTTGATAGAGAATCTTGTTAAGATGTCGGCTGGGGTATTTGTCACCTTCTATCATAAAAAAAAATATTAGTTCTGTGTTCGGATATTGTTTTTAAAGTTTCACCTCGAGCATACCATGTTAGTAAAGCAGCATGATGGGTCCGAATCATGCACAGCTGTGGGCTATAGGTTAAAACGATACTGCCGCAAACGCCTATCAACGTTTCGACTTTACCACACTGTACTACGTATTTGAGCAAGGACATATCAATTAAACGAAATTAATATCGTCAATACGTTTGCAAATGGCGTCTTAAAATGGCCATAGTTTGCTTTTGAAGTTTTTCTTAGTAAATTGCAAACTAGTGATGTCATTGATAGTTATTTACATGAGTGCTCAATTTTTACTAAGTATACAAAATGTCGTGACTTTTAGATAATACATAATACGCTACTAACAAATTAAACTATCTAAATGTGTGTTATCGGAGAAAAAGGTTATTAAAAAAAAAGTTAAGATACGCCGATAGAGAAGGTCGTTAGGAGCAACAGCACAGACTGCTTTAGTTGTAGGGTCTAGTCCCGCCATCTTTCAATTTCAAAGGATTTTATTTGATCATTACAATATTCTTGGAAAGTATAAAGCTTGCTCATTTAGCCTGTGTCAATAACTTATGTAGGTTACTTGATTCTTAGAATAAAACAATTATGAAGTAGGTATCCAATAACACAACAAAATGAGATCATAGTTCAATGTATTAATTGCCATTGTAATTCATATATTTTTATACATTCGAGTTTAACACAATACGTGGAGAGTTTCAATAAATTGTTTAAAACATTTTAACGTAGACGTGAATTTCTATAAAACCTGGCCAGCGGACCAGTTATTCAAATTAACACCAGCCATTTACTTCATAAACGTAAAGATCACTTAACATGTTACAAAGTCCTCCCAATCAAAGTACACAGTCTAGTGCATATACACAATCATCTCTCATCTTCAGCCACTCTTGCGCACGCCGCACAATTAACATGCGATCGCATATTGTTATTGTTGCTTTTCCTCCTCACCGCATGATTGCGCGCCCTCGATGGAAACTTTTGTATCTTCTTCTCTCCGTCTCTATCCGCTTCTGATACATCTTTATTCCGTAAACGGCGGCAGATCTCTGCCCACTCCAATTGTTTTAGCGATAAACACATCTCCGATACGTGCGCACAACGCGACACTTCAATTGACAATGACACTTCGATCTGCGCGTGCGACCTCACGCTCGACGTCGAAGGCTGACGATTTTTTCCTACTTGTTGATAATTTATAACACGTTCGCTTGTTTTGACATTTGACGAATGAAAGTGTCCGTATAATGGGTTATCAGAAACGGGACAAGGGAGATAATGGTTTGTTTTTAGTCCCTAGATATACGTATCTCTTGTTTATCTAATCGGGTCAACGCATTGTTTAAAGTATTTGCCTTATTTGTTTGTCTTGTTAATGGACACTTCAAACTTGGAGTTCAAACTTTAAGGACTTAACGTAGAGAGATGTTTGTTTTTGTTCATATTAGTTAAAACTTACCTCCATGAGTGTGATATGAAACCCGGGCATAGCTCTGGACAGTTATCACAAGGTCTTCCTTCAGAGACTTCTTTTATCCGTACGCCCTGAAACATAAAATAACATTAACGATACTTGCTTACTATCTGTACTAATATATAAAGCTGAAGAGTTTGTTTGTTTGAACGCGCTTATCTCAGGAACTACGGGTTCAAATTGAAAAAATATTTTTGTGTTGGTTAGAGCATTAAAGGCTATAAATCGCATTGTGACTAATAGAAGCGAAGATACAGCGGGAAATGTGAACAAAACGGGGAAATTTTTAATCTCTGTGGGTTTCAGAAAACGATTCAAGATAGCTAAAAAACGTGTAAGAAAGAATGATTTCTCTTTATACTTTTACTTAGAAAAAAGTCCGCGACCCTATATGTCTATCTTTTAAGATTAACTTGCAAGAACGACGGGGGGGGGGGGACGTGATCGACGATGTGGGTAACAACTTAAGTTTATAACGATGACGGGGTTTGCAAAAACTAATTTTGATGCCCAAAATAACGATTCTCGCGGACGAAGTCGCTGGCACAGCTAGTTACTTTATATAGTCGAAATCTTTGTCAATTTTTGTCTTTTGTCTTTCATAATAACTAGACAAAGGACAGAATTATACTAGAGGTCGAATTAAAAAAAATATATATAAACATATTAGTGTATGAAAAGCGGCCAGGCGCGAGTCGGATGCAAGAAGGGTTCCGCAGACGGATACGTGGCTTCGGTGATAGTGGTTCTCACTTCTAACTCTTCAAGTACGAAACATAAAAAAATAACAATTGTTGTAAATAGATACTTCTTCGTCACATAACCCATTGTTAATTAAATTAAAAATGTTATAAAACGTTTTGAAAAATTTAAAACGCGTAATATATTATAAGTTATTTTAATCCAAGTATTAGCTAAGGCCCGACGTTTGGGATGTTTTGTAGCAGCCGTGGTCACGTGGGATATGCTTAAAGAAATATATTCGACGTTTAAACCGTTAAATGTAGTATTTAAGTGAGTACTACTAGCGTACACTACTGATAGTATTAAATTAATAATATATATTTTGACCTCTAAATCTACATCATCGTCGTCAAATATCGCGAGACCATCCATACACTTGGTCACTCCCCTAACGAGGTGATCGTCATCCGAGTCACATTCACTATAACTGTCCGACGCCGAAGTACTCTCCCTCTTGTTCCCGAAAATTTTGAAAATATTTTTCTTCTCGCACCAATATTCCGCAGCGTTTTCTCGTAGGCTATGCGCCTTCTTGTTCTTCTTGTGGATCTTAAAGGGAACCTGTCTCAGTCTCCGCTTCTTCACATGAGACGGCTTCGATACAGCCTTCTTGTAAAACTTCTCATATTCTTCTTCAGTCACACCACAATGGTAGAGGAGATAGTCCTTTTTTATCTGCTCTTTTCCAATAGGATCTCTCCAATAGGTCTCTTTCTTTCTTACTCCAAGGTAATAATCAAGATCTCTATCGCCCCAGTCTTCACTGCATTCATCAGACTCCTCCTGTTCTGTATTAGCTTTTCTATCCTGTTCTTCGTTATCGTCCACTAATTTTGCCAGCAAACAGTACTTTCGAGAATTAGGCACCTTTTTCAGAAGGTTAGCTGTATTGGCAGTTAGGAATTTGGTTGTCTTCTTGTATACGGTCGCAACGGATTCTCGCCTACGTTTCAGCGTGTACATTTTTCTCCGTCTACCTGAAGATCGGTTTGAAAAATATTCGTGAAGAAATTTCGAAATTTTCACCCAAAACTTCATACTGTTTCATTTTCGTGGGATATTTTTTCAGGAGTCTTCGAATTGCGTGACGCCATATGCAATAAATATTATATTAAGAGAAAGGGGAAGTTTCGCGGAACGTAGTCCGCAAAGAACTAGTCCAAGTTTTTACTGTTACGATTCAATGTGAGGGTGACGTGATAGGGATCACCTGTCAATGGTTGGATAAGGTGGTACGCGACCAGCTGACGAAGACCCGCCTTTATGAAATTAGAGAAAGTTTAATTGGCAGCGGCGAGGGGTCAAGATATAATGGTAGGATATCCAACGATGGTAGGGTGTGGAGTTTTACGATCATGCAAACAGTGCTAAATGTGTCCATCGCAAATGACACGACAAATTGCAACACCCTCGGGTGGAATTGCTTGTTATATGCCGGTCTTGTTAGTAACACTAAATGAGAGGTCATTGACATGTGGTAAACGTACAAAGGCACACGACCGAACAAATTGTTTGATAAGTAAAAAATATTCTGAACTTCAATTACCACTGAAACAAATTGAACTTTTATGTTGAAACTTTTATATGATTGTCTATTAAAACTAGTAAAGTAAGTTGTGTTTTATAATATGGCTAAGAATTTACAAATATTACTTACTTTATTGACTATGTACTTAGAAAAATATGAATATTGTTTGACTGCCATCTAGTATGTGCTAATGAAACTAACTTATCGTCATATTCATAAGATTCGTCGTCAGTCTTATTTCTTGTTTTTAACGCCACCTATCGTGTAGTAGCAGAACTGATATTAAACCAAATATCTTAAAATTTTAAATTTTTTCAAAAACAATAAGTAACAGGACTTAAATATTATGTTATTCTGATAATTTTACTAAAGTTATGCCACATCAGTCTTGTTTTTCATTTAAAATTAAAATACAGGATAGGTGGCTCTGCATATCACAATTTAAAACGCGATGTGTATTTTTATTCAACTTATTACATATTTCTAACTTTGAAAGTGCTTTCAATCTGTGCTACACTTATCAACCGTTGACCTTTATATCACATTAGTTTATTGAAAATATGAATTGAGTTATAAAAAAAAAACAATTAATTTTGATTTCTTTCAAATAACCGAGCGTTAATTACTAGAATGGCTTGTTAGAAATATTTGTTTTTATTTCCTTCTAATATGTACACTATTTACCCACTATTTTGAATAAAAATTTAAAATAGAACCTAACAAATCCGTTGCGTCATATAATTAATTGTAATAAATTTCTAATAACTTTTGTCAAGATAAGTTGAGATAAGTTTTTAACAATGTGGTCGTTTATTAAAAGAAAAAGGTTAAACACTGTAGTGTACGCGAGTAGTAAACATTCAAATAAACAATATCAGAGTTTAAAACGCGAAATATAAACACTATAGTTAATTTTTTTTACATTTTTTTTACTATGGCTCGATGTTTCCGATGTTTTGCAGCAGCCATGGTGACGAGCAGAGTGTTCTTTCGAGTTTCAAACTATGAAAGTATTTTATTAAAAAAACAGGTTATAAGAGATTTTTCTTAAAAACGCTAAATAGTATTTGTAAGTCAGCATATCATAGCATAGGAGTCATATGTAAGCATTGTAATTAGTATGTAATATTAAATTTTAAAAAGATGTTCAAACATTGTGCAGAAGGTCATAATAACAGCTAACTATATTACGCGAGTATTTAATAAATAATGAGTCATAAAATAACCGGGAAGCCTGTTTCCTTAAATGCAAACATGTCTTTCTGCTCATTACACTTTTACAAACAAAAATTATTCATAGCATTGCGTGAAACTCGAGCGGGCCAGCTTAAGGCAGAAGCGATAGCGTTTAAATTTAAATATTAAATAAGTAAGATATTGAACGGAATAATAAGCAAGTATTAAATGTATTAAAATGTTATCTCTTTATAATTATTCAATTAACTATATTTATCTCTCTTCTTTTTAAGTATTGTCTGTAGTTTACACATTGAGATATTTTTTTTATTTAAATATAAACACTTTGAACGGTTTGAACTCCAAAATATATCAGCTAAGTACTTTACAATGTATTTTAACTGGGGCTTTTCAATGGCTTTAGCGTAGCTAATTTGACTTTGACATTATAATACACCACATCTTTAGTCCCTCAGTGACCTGGGTCGGGAGGGCTGCTGCAAAGCGTCCGTAACTTTGTGTCTCTCCTATTTTATTAAAAAAAATTAAAAAAATAAAGAGTGTTAAAGTTATTTTTATACACATAACACTGTGAAGTAGTTAAAAAACATTAAATGACGTGTATTATTACTTAAATTTAAAAATATATCTACCTTGTATAGTTTCAATTTAAATTAAAAATCGATTTTGAAAATATTTTTTTAATAATTTCAGTTTCTTTTGCAAGCCTATTTAAGTTATTAGCTTGGTTCCTTGAAAGTCACATTGAACCGCTGTCACTTACCCACGCACAGTCCTATACTCGATACGCACGAAAAATTATAAAACGCTCGTCGCTTATGACTCGAATACAATATTTCCCGATTTGGAATTCAGGGTTAACAATAAAAACGATTGCGTAACGTAATATATTGGGCAGTGATCTCAAATGAGGATGACGAACTACTTAGCTTTGTTTACTACTTTTGCATTTACTAATTGTTTTTTTACCAATTTGCCATTTTTGAACATAATCATTTTTAAACCAAGCAATATGTACTGTTTTATTCTACTTTAATTTTAAAAAAACAATGCCCTTTTAAACGATTGTGACACAGTTGGCACGTGGGGGTACCATTTAACACGCATTTTAAAACACTCTTAAAACGAGAAAAGTGTTTATAATGTTTTTGACAATTCACACCATCTTTAGTCCCTCAGTGACCTAGGCCTAAATGGGCGGCATAATAAGGGTTGAATGCATGTGATTTTTAGATATAAGTACATAGTTTGTTTTAAGTTACTTCTAATAAAAGTAATGACGATAGTTTTAAATAAATTAATTATAGGGTGATCACGCCATGATCGCACCAAGTTTGAATCCCAACAAATGGGGTTTCAAACAGTTGTGTTATATGAAAAATAAAACTTTTTCAAGTGACTGCCTGTCAATTGAAAAATGTTTGTGCAAATTGAACGCTATAGATTGGAACAGAACAAACAATGTGTGCTATTCTACAACCAATATTCGTATGTATTGATCATATTGTCTTCTCCCAACGGAAATCAAACTGATGGCTAAAATTTTAATATTTACGCGCATGAGGTATGACGTATTTCGTTTATCGTATTTACTACATATATATTAGTAGCTGAGTCAGCGACTTCATCCGCGCAAAATAGTTATTTTCGGCGTCCAAAATTTTTTGCAAACAGTTACCTACGTCATCAGACGCGTCCCATCACTCGCGACCCGTCTTACGGTTCCCGTCGTTCTTGCGAATTTATCTTAAGAGATAGACATATACTGTTGCGGACATTTTTTTTGATAATTTAAAGATAAATCATTCTCTCATACATATTTTTTGTGTATCTTAAACCATTTTCGCAGTGTACACATCGGAAACCTACAAAGATGATAAATTTTCCCCGTTTTTCACGCATTTTCCGCTGTTTCTTCGCTCCTATTAGTTACAGCGGAATAATAAATAGCCTATTGCCTTCCTCGATAATTGCTCTCTAACCAACAATATAAGAATTTTTCAATTCAAACCCGTAGTTCCTCAGATTAGCGCGTTCAAACAAACGAACTCTTCAACTTTATATATTAGTATAGATTCCAGAGCAAAGATCTCGTAAACTAGAAGCTCATTTACGTCTTTACGAATTTTGAGGAAATTCTGTGACAATGACCTTGACCTATTTTTTTTAAAAAGCTCGTTACTATTCAGTTTAAGTTTACAGGAACAACAAGTTTTTTATTATTTAAAAATATTTTATAGCGACGTTGTGCAAATAAATACATACGTCACATAAATTTAATGTTGTTGGTTTGGATTAAGCTTTCGTTTGTATTTAGTTTATAAGCCCCCTTGAAATAAATAAAAACTATGATGTCAGTGTGTAAAGTTTACTAAAATTTAATTTATAAAAACATCAATAACGTATATACTGTCTGCACTTTACGCGACTTTTAGGCATTTAAATAAAACAATTTTAACGGTTTAAAATACGATATATATTATTATAGTATTTATTATTTACCATTTACTTTAACGTCTGTCCGTAGATAAAATCTATTTTAAATAAATAAACTGAAATATTTCGCGTTTTAAACCGTTAACCGTATTTTATTAAAATACAAAACATACCCACAAGTACAATATCAGTTTCTATTGTAATAATTTTTAGTGAAATCAAAAGGAACTTTTCCAGCATAAATCTGGAACAATGGCTTCCTAATTCGTATGACGAAATCACAGCTCTGGTATTGAAACAAGAGGTTTTAATTAACAACGCCCTTGTTAGCTGGGACACGCCCTCCAATATCATAGGAGTACTAAAAAAATATTTTATACAAGTACTACTAGTACGTGGTCGCAATGCACGCGATAAGCGGGTTCAGTAGTGTATGTTTCCATTATTTTATGTAAATAATGAATTAAAGACAGTGTTTCATTTTATTAAATCCTAAAATTGTTTAAAGAGTTTGTTAAGTTAAGAATTTATTAATTATTCGAAAACTAACTTTAATTACCAAAAAAAATGTCAGTAACTTTAAAAAAAGGTTATTTCCTTATTATGTTAAACCTTTCATTTTAGTGTATTATGCTTATAAATCAAATGTAAGTTAAAAAATAAGGATACGTAACAGTTGTTAACAGATTTCTAAGATTAATTATTTTGATAATCATATAATAACTATAATTAATCAGTATTTATAAACACTCCAGTAATCCATCTTTGTAAAACGTTATATTTTGATACTGATTGGAATTAC